AAGATGTCCTCGAGTTCTAAGTGAGCTGTCGGGAACACTCGTCATTTTGGCGTTTAACTGCAGGCTTATTATGTCGAATGAGCTCTACCAGGTTGTAGGTAGGCCCAAGTGCAAATATGTACATCTGCAGTTCAGCAATTCTCAACAACATATAGGTATTACGTTATTGCAGATATGCAAACGAAAGGCCCATTGATAGCAAACAACAAATACTTTCTTTTATATGAGAAGCAATTTTTTTTTTTTTTTTTCACTCCATTGGCATAGCTAGATACAACTTATTGGTAGAGCCTATGAGATACGGTTGATGCGCGCAAGGTTATACCGAATGATTGCCATATTATGTATACCAGGTCGCGCGTGACTGTTTACTTGTATATTTTTATCAAATTTCATCGCACGAATAATTCATACAAAGTATAAATCAACGCGTGGCTTAAGAATGAAAAATTCCTCACACGAGTTCCCTAATTCCATCTCGAGGCTTAGCTCACTCGTTTTTGTTAGAGTTGGGGGGGAGGTGTGCAGGGGACGCGGATCAAGGAGAAGATGACGAACAGGAAGGCTGACTCGCTGACGACTTACTTTGAATTTTGCATTAATTCGAGCTCGTGTGTTTTGTGGGTACTTATCCATCGTTCAATAGAGAATACACTCACATAGTCGACGATGAGAGTAGGGAAGCCACTGCACGAATAGATTCTCGCAATCACATAAAAATCAGTATAAAAGCTGACTTTCGAAAACATTATAGCATTTTCAAGAATACTTATACCTTGACAAAACACTCGAGGATGACACGCGAGGTCAGGAGAGATTCAAGCAGTTTGGCCAGCGCAAATGTGTTTTATCCTTAATAGCGAAGCGCAAAAATACCGCGCACTTGTAACTTACGTTCTCTCACAAGTCACGATGAAAAACAAAAAAAAAAACGCTGATCATCGCGCGCCACGAAGGAATGCCATTACCTTGGCGAAAAATCCAAGTTGGCCGAGACGAGCTTTCTGCGGTGGCGCGTAATTTTTCGCTCCCCGAGGTATGCGTTTGTCGCGGGTGCAAGTTTTATGTACGAACTTGTTTTAAATACTTATCTTGCAAAAGAGGCGCTCTTTGAAAATATTTAAACAATCGTATCAGCAAACACCTGGCGTTTCGTCAAGCCGGCCGGGGAAACGGGCTTCGTTTAGCTAATTACCGACGATGCTGCCTGAGGCTTGCACGGCTTTAAAAAAAAAAAAAAAAGGAAAAAATTTCGCAAATAGTTCTACATGAGCCCGCATTAAATGACTACTTAATTTGATTTAAATTCGTTTGCCCTTCAATACGATGAGTTATAAACAAAGGAACGCCTAATGTGCTTAAAGGGAAAATAAAAGAAAAAAGCTCGAAACACTTGCGAGGTTCGTCTTTGTAATTAATCTTAGCAACACATCGGCCGTGTGCGAGACAAAAGACTCGGGGGCGGGAGCGATGCGTAAGCGCCTCTCCGTACTTACTCCCCAAGGGCCAAAAGTTTCTTTCTCTCCAACAAGACGCATCCGTTAGTATAGGTATACGTGTGTTCCTACGTAATACGTACAGCTTTTTGTTTTCTTTCTAAATGCAACGCGCAGCTCGGCTTTCGCGAGCAAAAGAGAGAGAGAGAGAGAGAGAGAGAGAGAGAGAGGAGATGATATCGATTCCTCGACCTGCTCTCGGGGCTTATCCGGCGTATCGGGTTCCTCTTGGAGTCAATCGGCAGAGGTATCTCTTTCTCTTGCGCAGAGTGCGACTCTCGCTCCCGGACTATCAATGACTCTTGGCTGGCTTTGTCGTTTGACATGTGTTTTTGCCCGATATCCCATGGGACGTGATTGGAAATTTTCATTCGCACGTTCGCGGCTTGATTTTGGCACAAAAGTTGGATTATTGGTAACACCTACTTTTTTTTTTTTTTTTTTTTTTCAATTTGGCAATGGAAAAATTGTTTAAATGTATTTGACGTAAGGAAAACGTGTACATACCTGGTGTTTGTTCACATGAAACGGCCTTGCATTCAATTGAAGTCATACGATACATACAAATATAATAATCGCGAAACAATAGCCTTATCATTAGCGAGTACAGCAGAGATTGCGAATACGAGAAGATAAAAGCTTATCTCACGTATACGTCATGCCTATGATGAGCTTTTCGTGTGAGTTAAATATTGTCGAGCTCTACCTAATTGTGTCATTTTAATTTATCATCTTATTTATATATTTCTTAGCGAAGACATATATATCGAAAACTAATCATGTATAATAACACAGAGCGTCGAGCCCTAAAGGGTATAGCTAGTTATCAAGCGCTACAAATAATTCACTTTTTTATTTGAATATTTATTAGGATGATCGCACATGTAGGTCATCTCCATAAACAATAATCTCAATAAGAAAAAAAAAAAAAAAAAAAAAAAAGAAATGGAATAGAGTANAAAAAAAAAAAAAAAAAAAAAAAAAAAAAAAAAAAAAAAAAAAAAACCAAGTTCTTACAGCACTTTGTATAAAATCATATACTGGGTTGAAGGTTGATCCGACAAATTGTGTTTAGCAAGCTAATCAACGTCCAACTCGAATTCCGTACTTACTTATGAAACAACAACTTGTGTGATAGTAAAAAAAAAAAAAAAAAAACATTCGACACAAACATCCAGCTGTACTATGAAAAAAAATCATCAATCATTCACGAGGCGCTTATCCCATTAATCAAGGCCCATCGTTTGGACAGAAAAAAAAATTCGCTAGCTAGGAGCAAACACTTAGAAAGGGAGAGAGAGGAAGCCGGACGGCGAATCGACCGAGTTTTCTCGCTTCCGAGCTCCCTTCGTTCCTACCTATATACTTTGCTGTCAAACTTACATATACATCAGTAGTGGCAGGCTCTCACAGAGATGCATGGAGCTGTGCGCTGATAGCAGACGCACAATGACGAGGGGGATGATATGGTTGAAGGGGGATGGAGGGGCTAAAAAGGTCTGATGCTGGGAGGGTGAAAGAGACCGGGTAGACACGCGCATGTGTATCAGATGCTGCTGCTAGAAAAGCGAGGGGCTATGCTGGGTATTGAGGTAGACGGAGAACGTGGTTTTTGTGCCGCCTTTCGTTTGAGTTTTCTGCTTTTCTCATTTTTTTTTTTTTTTTGTTTCATTTTAAGCGAAAAATATGCGCCGTTTTGATGAAAGCAGCTTGAAAACCCGCGAGTCTCAACTCTGCTACTTAGTAATTGAAAAGAAATGTGGTATCTTTTTTATTATCTCAGGTCGTATTTTACCAGTGTATGATTATTAGATACTTTTCACATTTTTACATTTAGCCAATGAGATTTATATTTCAAAGACGATTCAGACGATATAACATCCAGGTGAAAAAAAACGCTACAAATACACTGGTATTAAGTAACAAAAACAAAATTGCCAGATCTATCCGTCGTCCAATAATCAAGTCCACTCGAAAACCAACAGGGTGTCCACATCCCCCCCCGGGCATGAAGTAGGGGATGCTGTATTATCAACCCTCCCCCTGCAAACATCCATCAGCAACAGGGAGAGAACAAAGATTTGAGTGAATGCAAAACTCAGGAGGCTCATATTATAGTATGTAAGCTCGCAAGATTAGCCTGCAACTGTACATTAAGTATTTGTACACCTACTCTGATAAAAAATAAAAATCGAGAAGCCGGCAGGCATATAATATAATTATGTACATACAGTACTCGGTGTACACGTAATACCTAGGTGTGCAAGCGCTACAGAGGAGAGTCAGCCGATTCAACTTTCGCTCTCTTTCTATAGTATCTCCGTCTCGGGGCCGCTGTGTCTGCAGCTGATGCTGTGCGCCTCATCTCTCGCAACAGCGAGAGGCCGAGAACATGACACACCACACGCGCGAGAACCGTCTCACTCGCTCGTTTTGGCTCTACCAACTTATAAGTATATTTTATGTACAGAAGAAGACGTACGAAATGTATACATTATTATAATAATGTGTATGTCTTTTGCTGTGTAACGCTCGCGAGTCAAAGGCTCGAGGCTCGAGGCTATTAAATCAATCTCTCTAGCTTTGGAGCTGGGCTGTTTTTTTCCCAGGAAAAAATCAAAAGGAACACGAATATCGAGTGGAGACTACTTACGTTTTGCACGGCCGATCGGAGAGTCGAGTTTCTCACAGCTATTACCCTGGCTAGCTCTTCTTCTTCTTTTGTCAATTTTTTTTTTCTCCAGGAACTCCGGCTACTTCTGCTCCTCCTACTCTGTATAATATACGCACAGCCACGCACACAGGTACAATATGTATGCACTTTACCACGATCTATATGATTTACTGTTATCGTTATTGCAGAAGATAATTTAAGGAACGAGCAGTCAACCGGCTCTAAGGCAGCTGCATCTCATGCCAGTCCCCTCCGAATCCTCCGATATTAATTAGCACTCACTACATCTGGACGTATGTATGTGTTATAGGCGCATTAAAGGTACAAACGTGTGTATACGCAAGCAGATATAGCAAATACCATTGCACGGACTTCGAACTTCGATGGGAAGCTGGTGATCACCGCGATCAGTTGTAGTAAACACTACTGGGCGCCATGCTACTGCTGCGAGACCCCCCGGGCTCACACTTACATACACACCTACTTCTCTAGCTCCACTGGCGTTTTGGAGCTCGGCAGTAGATATAGGCATATAGACTGCTCATTTCTACACACATACACACACATACTGCGCTGAAGTTCAGGATACCGATACGAGCGTGGGTATATCAATCTGCTAACGTGTGGCCTGGCCCTATTTTGAATTTCGCGCGCTTGGTTTGTCATACCGATTAGTTTCTGCATTACCATCGGGTGATAATCTGCATCGTGGAGTGTACCGACCGATTGAGTATAGTTTACAAATCGGCCGCAGGACTGGGGACAGCACTTATCAGTATCGGCATAGTCGCAATCTTCTTATCCATGTACACTAGCAGACAGATTTTTCACAAAATGACAACACAATCCGACAACGAAACGATCATGCTCGAAAGTAAATAAGAGTTTGTTTATTAAATATTACGTCTAAATACACACTAAGGTAACCAAATAGTATTCATACTAAGTTAGCTTTCTATCGCAAAGTTAAACTATTGAATTGAATATTATCATTTTTGCATGTTTACCACTTGGATGATCATTTATGTGTTAATTTAATAAGTTAATTTTACCTAGTTCATAATGACCCTCCAATGGACTCGACCACTCCTCAGAAACTTGACAAGGAGACATTTTCACACAACAAAGGGCAGATATTTGTTTTACGAAACTTATGATAAGGATGGCTACAGCAAAAAGCCACAAGAACAGCTTGAATGGGAAAAATTGTCATGGATAGACAAAATTAAGTTTGAGTTATCTCTTCAAAAAGAATATGTCAAAGAATTTGTCACTGATTATAAACTGGAATTCAACGAAGGTCCAAGAATTATAATGCCAGAACATCATGTAGATGTTTTTTGGAGATTTACTGGAAAGAAGGATGAAATGAAGCATTGGCTTGTCAGTTGTGATAGTGACCACAAAGAGGGACATTCAACTGCAAAGTGAGTGCATTGACACATTTCACAAAAAAAAAATTACACTTCACACATGTTTGTTTCTCAAGAGACCTTACAAGTATGTGCCTAACTTTTTTCTATCAAATTTTTAATAACATTAAGATATTACATTTTTTAGATTAGAATACACCCGTGATAACAAAGGATTGTTTCACGGATTTATAGACACTAAAGTTCCACATGACGGATATCTTAAGCGCACAGGTTGGGCTAACATAAGAATGGCTCCAAAAAAAACTTTCATTACAAGAAGTGAAGCACATGACTTTGATCCCTATACTCATATAGTATTTCGCGTACGTGGTGATGGGAGAGTATACGCCGTCAACCTACACTATAAGAATATATATGATGTCTGTATGTATGATACTTTTCATTATTTTATTTGGACCAGGGGTGGTCCATACTGGCAGTATGTGAAAATACCATTTTCTAGATTTGTCTTTGCTTACAAAGGCAGAGTTCAAGTGACACATAAACCTGTGCCAAAGGAGCTTATAAGCTCTGTTAGCTTCACGTTAGCTGATAACATTACTGGACCTTTTAAATTAGAAATTGACTACATTGGTGTACAGTATGATCCTAATCATGAAGAAGAATCAGCTTATGAAACGTACTCGTTTGATAATCACTTATTCTGGTGAATACATGCAGTAATAATGTAAATAAAAGTCATTCAATGAATCATACCTTTAAAACAAGTTTAATAAATATGTACATATAAAACTTTTTACAATTACTCACTCCTTTTCCTTAATTATATTAGCTGTGAGTGTTATGCTTTTTTGACAGCATTTTATATGTATTTTTTGATATAATGTAACTAACGCCACCAGCAATGGTAGTAAAAGCTGTAAGATAACACAGACCCTGCAAAAGTGGGTGATCCACAAAATTAAAAACAGGTGCAGCCAACGTCCCAGCAACTAGCATTAATTGGACTCCTGTGTTGATCTTACTTATCATTGTTGGGGCTAATTGCACTGTTGCATGTGTAGCATCAAAATATCTAGTCAAAGTTTTCTGAAAAATCAATAAAAATAATAGCTCCATTTTTTAAGAAATTATCGTACAGATTTATAAACAATATTTATAGACATGAAAATTTTAAAAACCAAACTCACTGGTGGTGGCAAGGAGCGATATCTAATGTAAGAAGCAGCAGCTACCAAAGTAACATCTCTTACAATAACAAGACACGTTAGCCACACAGGTATGAGACCAACCCACGTTAAAGATAAAAACATTGTTCCAACTAAGAGCTTATCAGCCACTGGGTCAAGAAAACTACCAAGCTTAGAAGCTTGTGACGTCCATGTGCGTGCTATCCAACCATCAGCCAAATCAGACAGTCCAGCAAGTCCCAGTAGCCCTAAGGCTAACTTTAAATATTTTCAAAGTCATGAGAAAAGAGTAATAAAGCCAGATTTCATTTTGATTTAATTCGAAAACTCAAATTACTTGGTAGTCTTGAATTACTATGAGATAGCCTAGACCCGGCGTTGTCAGTATTCTCCCGATGCACAAAAAATTTGGTATCGTGTAGATGTTTTCCCTTTCGATGATTTCTTCCACCTTTTGCTTCGTCTGCTTGAAATCTTGAATCAGACGTGCCCTGATTTCTTTTCTCCTGGCTCTTTTTTGCCTTTTAATCTCTTGCCTCCTGTTGTACGCATCGTCATTATTTACACTGTATAGTCTTGGAACAATCTGTTGTATACATTTTTTCAACGTGTACCTATTAATTACTCTACACCTCGAGAGTTGCTGCAGCATAAAGTAACTCATAATTACACAATCCTGAAAACAAGTAGACGTTTAAATTTTTAGATTTTAGATTTATGATGACAATCGAATATAATTGATACGAATCAACATGGATGGAAATAACTTCAACGAGTGTGTGGGTCACGTGTAAATGTCACTCGCCGCCTTTAAAGAAAGAAAATGATAATTTGGCGTGATTGTTCAAAGGTCATCATTCACGAGAGGTCAATTTTCTTACACGCGTCAAAATATACTTACTAGATTTGAGGTTACGAGTAGTAGTACAAAAATTTAATAACAACTAATAAAACAATCAAGTCAAACAGGTCGATCCTTAATACTCTTGGTAGGATCATCTTTTTCACGAAACCTTCATTACTTTCTGTAAATACAACAAACTCGCACTTACGTACGAAAACATGCTTGCATATGTAAAAGTGTATACAAAAATATATTCTGTAAAGGGTGTACTTATATAGATATAGTCATGTGGTAATTAATTAAAAGCATCACGTGAGCGGCACAGCAAAGCGTGCAAGTGCGCAAGTTAAATCGCAAACGTTTGCCGAATAAGTACCTACTTATCTACTGTCAGTAACTATTACAGTTCCATTCGAGTATTATTCATATTATTGGTGGATTCCATATTCGAATTCCATGCCAGTGAAACGATATATTATATACCTTGGGCTGACCATTCGGTTGCTTATACTACTAGCATTGCAATTTTTAGCTTTTGATAAATCTTGATATCTATTCTAGAACACAAAATTGAATATAGAGCGTCTTTGAAAAGGACACGGATAAACGTGCACTTGATCGATTAATTTAAATGGAAATACCGGTTAACGAAAGCACACAATAAATTATTCAATTAGTAAGTATAAGGTATAATTTCATTAATTGCTTGACGGTCGATGTTTGACACTCACACTTAACGTGTGTGCCGTAATTTGCACCGCTAATCATGATAATGGACCTTTGGTATGTACGTATTGTTATTGTATCATCGGCTAACGCGGAACGTCCTTTGCAGTACTTTGCACGTGTATAAGGTGTGTACAGCGGGGGAGGGAAACCAACGCGTTTTATCAAATAAAAAATATGATGACTATTTTGACTTGGGTTTGTAAAAAAAAAAAAAAAAAAAAAAAAAAAAAAAAAATATGGCCCCATGTACTTATAATTCTTTATTTCTTTCTCTCTTTGTCAACGTATGTTTCATCGCCCATACGTCATCGAATCAATGATTCGTGCACCCACGTGTATATGAGCAATTCTACAAAATAAGTCCTGAAAAATGGTCCACAAAGATTGATAAATTTTTTATTAAGGTTGACAATAATATGGTGTGTACCTTAATAATAAAAAAATTTAAGATAGACAAGCCATTAGCGCCATTATAGAGGTAAGTATAAAAAATAAAAGTGACAAGAATAAATAAAATTTAATTTGTAAGTTGCATTTATATATATCCTCGATTATTTCCAAAAGAATTACTACTTTGGACTAAATTTATTTTTGGTTCAGAAATTGTTANTTTAAATGCACAAACCAAAAAGTAAATAAAAAAAAAAAGGTCCACGGCCTTGTGGAAAAAATACCTGCGGTTTCCCCCATAAAGACCAGCAATGTACACGCAAGCTACAAAAGACGATTGCATCAAAACGCACTCGCGGAGCACGGCATACCATCACCAGCAAGAGCGCAAAGTCGCGGCTCTCTCCTTCACCCCTCGATATCCAAAGGCAACCCCGTCAAGGTAACGTGCGCGCACACACACACACACACATGATCATGGGGTACACCCACGAAATGCATGGTCGTACCTACATACACAAGGGTAGGATGCGCACCGAGCAACGGTGACTGTGTCCATATTATATACCCATGTACACATTAGACACGCATATATATATATATACGTGGCCACCCCCTCGGCTAGCCATTGAGAGGAGCAATAAGTACATGAGCTGCGACGACGCGCGCACGCAGTGCCCATCAAGCCGTGGGTCGCGTATGTCCCACCGAGCCGAGAATTCCGACAGTTCGACTCCGCGATTGTTATCACGAGGTTATTTATCGGTTATTTATCGTCGCGGACACGCGACAACGCTTAACTCGAAGATCCCTCCCTCCCTCCCTCTGTCTCTTTGTTGGTGCTCGCGAGTGAAAATCAGAAAAATGTATCGTACGCGTGCGACCAAAAACTACACGAGTGCATCGGTGGGCAATTAAACGAGACGCGGAGGCGACAGGTGGAGGAGGAGTTGGATGCGATGCGCTCGGGGGCCAGCGAGGAGGAGGACGAGCTGGCGAGCCTCTAAGCTGCCTCCCGAAAGCCGGCCACGAGCATGACTCTTGCCGGATCAGACCATTCGCTTGCGGGTAAGTCCATTCGCTTCTTCCCCCCCCCCCCTCTTTCCTCTCGGGGCTTTTTTTCTACCCTCACCATCATCCTGGCTGACGGTGCTTATCACGTGGAGCTCCCATGGGGTGGTCACGATCATATTTATATGTGCGACAAAAAAGGGAACTCGGACAACGCACAGCGTCATTTCACGGTCACAAGGGGGCTATGGCTCGAATTTTCCAGAAGCGCGGATGCACCAGCCAAGGGGTGGCGCGGTCAAGGGGGTTGTCTTGTTTTCCCTCCATATCTTACCCCCCCCCCTGTCTCTTTCTACGGATACGAGCTCTCCTCGTGGCGTATACATACATGTATGTACTTACAACTGTCAAGCCGTACAAGTGTGTGTGTGTGTGTGTATGCGCCTACCCCCGTTGCGTTGCGATAATATTATACGCGTGACCTTAAACTCGTTCGGCGCGCATGTAGAACATGTGGGGGTTATTTGTCCCTCTCCCCTCCCTCTTTGGATGGTGAGGGGAAGGGTTGTTGTCTGTCTTACTCTCCCTTTTGTTTGTTTGTTTGTTTGTTTTTTTTTTTTTTTAATTACGTATGGCTGCGATAAAGTGTATATAAGCGACAGACAGAGGCCACGACGCGAGTTGCATTATACGATACGAGGTGTAGGTACATGTGTATGCACCCATGTACATACATCCACGTAGCGACGCCAGAACGAGCCGCATTGCGCAATACCTCGGCACACGCCGGATTGTGTTGTTTTTTTTTTTTTTTTTTTTTTTTTTTTTTTTTTTTTTTTTTTTTCTCATCCTTCAGGTCTCGAGCGTGTCCGAGGGGGGTGGGTTGACCTGAACATGATTTTTTTAGTTTTTTATTTTTCCCTTGGAAAATGTCCCTTGGTTTTTCCAGGGATTGCTCGTTTCGCCGAGTTATTGCAACATTCACGAAGCCATATGGAATAGCGCACTCTTACCAAAGTCTTGGTACTACGCGACTTTTGTGCTTTTTTTTACCCTTGGGTATTAATTTATGTGATTAATCATTGAAAGCGTGATAAATTTGTTAAAGCACGAAGGGTCCATTGGGATTCAACGGATGTCACTGCGTGCAGAAATTATTCATCCAACGTGAGATGTATTTTGATGAATTTTTAATGGGAAAAAGAAAAATAAAATATATAGCGGTTGCGTTTGGAGCGTGTATCTTCGACGCGTCCGGTAGAGTGGACTCGCGGTTTTCTCATTATTATTCCGACGAGGACGTTCGCGAAGGTGACATTGTTAGCGAATTTCATTCGTTTACTGGTATTATTATTTAACAATACTGCATAAAAAAAAAAAAAAAAAAATGTTTGGCCAGGTTTTTATATTTTAGAAACTTGCTTTTACTCGCAAATTGATGTTTAAAACTTCTTTTTTTTAAACGATAAATTGATCATCGATTTTTTGCAACGTAGTCATTGTTACAATCGAATGATAACAAAATCTATAGTCAGAGCTCCAATTTATTGGAACTTGGTTTTATATTATTTTGACGATCGATGAGTTGTTATTGTTACTTCGTAACCATAAAATAAACATCATCACGACACAGTTAAAAAAAAAAAAAAAAAAAGTCCGTAAACAACTTCTACCATGTACATATTATTAAAACAAACCCCCGTCAGATGTAAAAAGTATTGTGGCGTGTTGGAGCAATTGGGAGTAATAATCCACGTGTTGTGTGCTTTTATTTATGGTTTCTGCGTTACGAACAAGTCAACGATCGAGTACAGCATAGAGCGGGTAAAAAACAATTTCTCGATGTTTGTATCAACGCGAGGCCTAAGAGAAAAAAAAAAAAAAAAAAAAAAAAAAAAAAAAAAAAAAAAAAAAAAAANCGTAAAATTGTCTTTACAGTGGAAACGACAGCGTTTCTGGGTGCCTGCCTCGGCTTCGTCGTCCTACTTCTGGTCGTGGCACTGTACTTGTCCCGCAAGTGGTACTACATGCCGCCAGCTACGACGGCCACGCTCTTCGGTGGTGTCTGCGTGCCACTTTGCGAGTCCAGCAACGACGGCTCCGCCACCCACGGTCAGAACACCGGTAAGTCATTGCCGAGATTTTATTTTATTTGTTTATCTATATTTTTTTTATTATTTGTTTTTTCTTCTTCTTTTTGACTGAATAATTGAAAATACGCGATGGTTCATCGACACAGGAAAGAACTATCCGTTTTCGGATCTAGAGACGAGCTCGGACTCGGAGGAGGACGCGTTGCGTCGGCTAAATTGCCGAAATCATCCGCCAGCGGATACTCTGACCATACAAGCCGAGGACGAGTTACCATCGAGTATTTCAGGTATATTTTATACCCTACAAGTACACGCTTTACGAAAATATTTACAATCACTCAACCAAGTGTTTATATACGTGTTTGTGTGTGTACGATACTAAATGAGTTACGCGAAAGACATTACACGGTGCACAAATATTTGCTTATGTTGCTTGCTGTCCCGACCCCTCAAACATACATACATCGGGAAAAATAATGGGGTTGATGTATCCACACGCAGATTCTGCATCAGTCAGTAACAACAATGCGATCAACAATGACAGCAACAATAACAACAGTGGTAGCAACACTCCCAACAGCCACCATTTCATCGAGGATCAAGCCACTGATGAACAACAGGTAACCGACGACAAGACCCTATATGTATATGTATATATATGATGAAACGAGTCAATCGTTGTCGAATTGAACGTATTAACATGATATTTCAGTGCATAGTCGAGGTAGGCTCGACCACGGTGATCCTCGACAACCAAGAACATGAGGCGACGACAATCGACGAGAGCGCCGCCACGACACCGACGGACGCCATCACCTCGTTGGCGGTAGCGAGCGAGGAAACAGCCAGCCTCGAGGTCGCCTTCCTCTACGACGCGCCGATGCGAGAGATGACGGTACGTCCATACACGGACATCCCATGGAAAGAAAGAAAGAAAGAAAGAAAGAAAGAAAGAAAATAAAATAAAATTCGCTCCTCCACTTGTGCGCGCAGGTGCACGTACTCCAGGGCCGCAACTACCCAGCGGGCATAGGCGGTAGCCAAGTGCGCCTGGTGCTGTTGCCCTCGAAGAAGCAGCGCCGCAAGACCCGCTGCCGGCAGGGCGGCTCGCCCCAGTACATGGAGAGCTTCCTCCTGCCGCGCGTCAACCCCGAGGACGTGAACGCCATGGGGGTGCGAGTGCGGGTGTACATGTTCGGGGGCCGAATGCGCCGGGAGCGGCTACTGGGGGAGGCGCGCGTCTCCTTCGACCGGATCAACCTGCGGCTCGAGACGACCCTCTGGCTGAGCCTGCAACCACCGCCGTCTGCCTCCGACTGGGGTGGCACGACCGCGAGCCTGACGCGCAGCGACTCGACGGGCTCCCAGCAATCGGTCCAGTCGTACGCCCTGCCGACCACGCCGCCCTACGGTAGCAGCATGAAGGGCGGCAGCATTGCCGAGATCCTCGTCGGGCTGACTTACAACGGGGTCACGGGCCGACTGTCGGTCGAGATAATCAAGGGCTCGCACTTTCGCAGCGGCACCGGCACGGACGTCAAGCCGCCCGACACCTACGTCAAGCTCGCCCTCGTCGACACCAACAACCACGAGATGGGCCGGGCCAAGACGAGTCTCAGGCGCGCCCAGCCCAACCCCCTCTACAAGGAGACCTTTATCTTTCAGGTGACGATTATTTGATCACCCCAAGTGTACGCTTATAATCCAACCACCCTCCATCACGATATACCTACCTACAACAATTTTCAAAGGGAGCATATATTTTTTTTCTATTTACATCTAGTATGAAAATCCACGGGTACAACTATTTGGCTGATATATAATATAAATGAGTATAAATGTAACAATTCGAGGGTAATGAACAGTTGATCGCGAATGTGTCGCTTTTTACACCTTGGCTCATCGGAATGGATGAAGCTCATCAACAACAAAACTATCCGTTGTTATAAGGGGTATATAATATGTGACATGGTGTTTGTTGTCCAGGTGGCGCTGTTCCAGTTGGGCGAGGTCACGCTCTACCTGTCGGTGTACAACAGGAAGCGCACGGCTATGGGCAAGAAGGGCCGGGAGATGATAGGCTGGCTGTGCCTGGGCCTCCAGTGCTCCGGGGCCGAGGAGCTCCAGCACTGGAACGACATGCGCGCGGCCGGCCAGCCGACCCAGATCCAACGCTGGCACTCGCTGCTCCGGCCCTGAACGGAAGCCGGCGCGAGAAGGGCCTAGAGCTCCTTCGCTACCGGGACAGTCGAGAAGCAGTGCGACAACAACCAAATGGCGATGCACACGCGTAACACCAAATGGAAGTGGAAAAACAACCGATCCAGCCCTCGTGGAGTGCGCGAGGCGCCTCGACGATTCGCCACTCGATCCCAACAATTGGGTCTGACCTGGTGTTTTTTAGGGGGAGGCGACGACGAATGACTCCGTCGCACACCGACCCGGTGGATCACGACGGTGACGATGCGATCGCGGATGTTGTCGTCCCCGCGACAGATTTTTCCTTCCCCCCCCCCTCGCGACTGACGAGTTGGCGAACGAATATCATGTATGGTGTATGGTGCAACTTTACGCATAACATGTATATGCATATAAACCCGTGCATGTATTATATATATATATCAATTGCCAATAACTGCCCTGTGATCTGCATAATATATATGTGAAGACGGTGGCTGTATCTACTACTATACCCATCATTTACAAGGTGGACGCGAACTGTACGGACCTGAATGAGATTCAGGGCTGATCATATATATATTTTACACGTACATCATGCCGATCTCAACATTTGACTATACATACCGGCTGATGAATTTTTTTTTTTTTTTTTTTTTTTTTTTTTTTTTTTATCGTCATGACTATACTCTACGAGTACCTCTCATTTATTACGTGATGTAAGGTGAACATGATGCACACGAACGAGAACCTTATTGTTTTTTTTGGTAAAACCACGTGTTGGGCGTATTTCATGACTTTTGGAAGCGAGCAAAAAATTTTTGCGTTTTTTTTTTTTTCGTAAGAGCGTCATGCGCTTTACGATTACATTATTATGATAACCGTGTGCACTCGTGTACATTTTGCACTTCACCTCAAAGGTGACGTGGGAGATGTTATTGTATTATTATACGGTATGCCTACTGCACTTGGATAAAGAAGAGAGAGAGAGGGAGAGAAAGCGATTTTAGATCCAACGTATAATAAAAAGCGGAGGGTTAATCGGTTTGGACACGAGAGTCGCGTGTTTTTTTGTCAATGCGGTGCGAGCCTGAGGCGCGGCCGTTTTTTTCCACATCTCTGCATGTATTGCGCATGTTGTAGATATTATGCGCGTGGCCTCTTGGTCCGTTGTACCACGGACGAGGGGCCTTTTTTTTGCGAGACGTCGCTAAAAACAACAACAATTACCTTTGATACGCCGACAGTTAAGTAAATTATCGATGGTTTAGAAAAACAAAGAAAAAAAAAAAAAAAAAAAAAAAAACAAACGAAAAGTTAAAATTCGTAGAAACGAAGCTCGCGTCTACACCTATACACTGCATTTGTATACCTCGACAGCTGTACCTAGTGTTAAACTTTACGTACTGAAAAAAAAAAAAAAAAAAATGAATGAAAACATCAATTCCTTGTCGGGGAGCGCGAAGCGACGCTATTTTTAATACGAGACGCGGCGCGCTCGCGCTCTTCACCTAAACTTATTATCAATAAGTAGGTTACACATAGAGCTGTAAGACGCAACCGAGTTTTTTCGAAAGCACACGCATAGGTACACACAATTACAAAACAAACAACTTTTTTCGTCGACGCGAATTTTTCGCGAATAAACGTCGGGTTAGGTATTTGTTATACGATGGAGTTTAGAAGAGGGGACATGGGTATATTTATTTGTCGGCTAAACGAGTGGAGTTATATGTATTTAATGCGACTCGTTGGTAAAAATTTGTATGACGAAGAATAGGAGATGACAAGCGTTCAATGTGCGCTTGGTTTTTTTGAATATATTATTCTAATGATACTGAACGAAAAAAAAAAAAAATAAATAAAAAATTTGCGATCTCTTATGAGAGATGAGAGAAATAAATACAATACGTTGTCTAATCGACGTAATTTTTACCCATTTTCAGCTATGTAACGTGCGATGTACCGTGTCTGCAACATAGACTATATTTCCTTAGGAGAAAAAAAGAAAAAAACAACGCGGTCTTTCAACTATCCTCGATAATTATCATTACCATTGTTCGTTTATTAGAATATGCATACTTGCTGGCTCAAAGCCCTTTTTCACAAATAGATTACGACACTCGATAACCCATTGCAGCTGAATTAGGCGTGTAGTTGTGATATACCGATTGAAAAAGTCTCTCATCATTTAATTATTTGTGCCTTTCGTCCCTCGAGCTGCAGACACGATGTGCCACACAAGAATATATTTGTCCATCACATTGTATGCAAAACATTTTTCAAAGAATCACTCGACTAAACGTTTTATGGCATGTGACGTTTTTTTCACAATCGGAACGGTTTGAGGCGTGGATGATGATCGTTTTGCCGATCCTTTTTACGACTCAAATGAGCATATAGGTGCAAAAGTGAGCACCCGAAATATGTATGTATAATTATATACAAATACCAGTGAGGAAGCTGGAGTAAGTTTATTGGAAACGATGAAACATGAAACAAACAAAAAGGAAATACACAAGATTTTTAGAGTAAGGATAAACGAAAAGGAGACGAAAAAAAAAAAAAAAGAAAAACATATAGATTTTACATTCCGATGACGCACAATACGAAACTTGCATGAGTACCTTGTAAATGCAGTTGTGATTTTAGAGGAGAAGAATATTCATAATATTAATAAATACAATAACGTCGTTGAGGTATACAAACTGTAAGGGATTAAATTAAAATTTTAAAGAGACATATATGTAACGGAAATATTTAAAGAGCAATGATACATAAGCATAAATTAAAACTGATAAGCAAACGTTGGTAGACAAAGTAAAAAAAAAAAAAAAAAAAAAAAAAAAACATTAATATCAATATTGTATGACGATAGTTTTTGAAATTAAAAATTGTAACGGGGTGCAATGGCTACACATATTTTTTACGTTTACGATTGGTTGATTCTTGTTTTCTGAATGAAAATTTTTTTGATTACCATCTTAAAATCGCTTTTTTTAGTCGAAAGAAATGCATATTTATAAAAATTTATAACTTTCATATGCTACTAATGAAACTATTTATGAAATTTCATTTTTGAATTAAAAACAAACTCGCAGCCTGTGGGAATGGGGAAGCGATTCAGAGGACGATGTCATTTTAATTTTAAATCGAGGGGCATCCTATTATACTATTGCGACGAACAAAAAAGCCTTGTAAAGTAATTTGTTATTTGATCAAAACCCAAACAGAGTTTGAGTGACGTAGAGCATAGTCGTTTGATTAGAAAAACCAATTGAAGATTCATTACCGCCCCTGTTAGAGCCAATTTTTTCCAATCCACGATCAAACCGTTCCGTTTGTAATACTTTACGTACATTTGTATTAAAATTAAAAAAAATGCTAATGATTTAAAAATCTCAATGTAAACAATTAGGTTTGAGAATAGTTCTATGTTGTTCACACGGATATTTTTTTCCTTTTATTCAATATCTTTTTAAGGGTTCTTACGGCACAAACAAACAAACACACACACACACACACAAACTAACTTGGTGAAGTATTTTTTCGTGATTATGGGAATATGGGTAACATAAGAAGATACGCGAATGTTTTTTCCTAGTAAATTATCGAGTGAGAAAACTAAACACGCGCATGTGTTAAGTACATACACATTCATGTAATACTTTTCGACATATTTCGTCCATTCTATATTTTACGAAGTCTGTGTTTTCTATTACAGAAATAACGCGCACATAGGATCTTAAGAGGTTTACAATCAATTTGACTATTATGTAATGGTGCAAGCTATAAGTATACGGTGTTTTTTATTGCGTTGCTTTTAACACGCGATAGCCATTAATATTTACAATTTAAATTTTATTTCCACTGTTAAATCTTGAGATGTCATATTTTATATTCGTTGTTTTCAACTATATTATATATTCTTATGCGATAAGAGAAAAGAGAAACACTATATACATATATATTTGGAAAACTTTGACAATTTGTACAATGACGAATAGGAGAAGGATGCAGAAAGGAGTTAACGCAAAAGTTGGCGGAGGAACAAAAAAAAGTTACAACAAATGCATTCCGCTGGATTTGCTATTGTCACTTGGTGTGTGTACCTGTACTGGCCGGATTTTTTGTCCACGAGCGGTTTTATCTAACAAGCACCCACCCATCCCCTCTTGCATTATCGGCAAAACACATCTCATTCAAGTTTGAACGTCTACTGCACAAAGTAGTTTAATCCTTTAATCAATGTTATTTCGTAATCTAAGTGAAAAAAAAAAAAAAAAAATTCAATAAAATATTCGTGGGTGGTGTTTTATAAAAGATGTTTTCCGAAATATTACTGAACGACATAAAAATCTATGAATAGTTGTTACTACTTGCGCTAAATAAACACATGCTGATCAGTAAAAAAGAAAATTTTTTTGTTTTACCCTTTTCCATAATATTTTCAAATCATTTATAAACCATAGATTTCCGTATTAGAATAATTATTTATGAAACATATTATACAACTTATTTAAATATACCTAGATTTGTGTTTTTGACTCAATACACATATTTCTCCAAGAGTTCTTGTTTCTTTCTCATCAGTAACACCTCTTGGATCTCTTTTTGGCTTAGGACATGCATTTGATTTGTTTCCATTTCTTCGTCCACTTCTGGAACTTGTGTCTCTTTACCATTCTTTTCACTTTTCCACTTTTCAATCAATATTTCACGATACTCCTGTTCAGCTTCCAGCTCTAGAGGCACAAGAATGCCGTCATCATCGTCTCTGTACCCATAGTAATCTGCATCAATGTCTTTCATTAACTCAGCGCGAGTTTTTCTTGGTGGTGGTGGAGGTTCTTGCTCAAACAATTCTCTGACTCCAGGTAAATCTTTGGCAGCTCCAAAATATTTGTATCCTCTATTTCCTGGTACCTATTATACACAGTACATTTTAGTTGGCTATCATTCACTTCTTCAACTACGCTACTAAAAAGTTAGAATTCATACTTCTCTTCCTTCGTGATCCAACATACGTGGACCAGTTCGTGAGTAATCTGGACCACCAAGCTCTTTAATTTGTACCTCCCAGTGTCGCTTTTCTCTGAGCAGTTTGTTGATTTCATCGTTCAAGTCTCTAATGCGAAACTCACCCAGACCAGCATTTTGTATCTGAGCCACTTTTTTGGCTATTTCTCTGATTATTTGGTTTCTCCACTTTTCAGCTCTCCTAAGATCTTTGCATTCCGAGGCTAGGTAAGGTCTCCTCTCTTGCTCTTTTTTCCCTTCGTTGCAGTGTGCAGCTCTCCATCGAGCCAAAGTGGTCCTGTAAAAAAATAATCAAACATTGATTGATCAACGTAACTGGAGTTTAACTGAAATAATATGCGGTACATGATGTTACACTTACATTGCCTTCTCTGCATTACGTGCCTATGGACAAAAAAATGTTTATTACAAACATATTTCATGTTTATACAAGGATAAGGTCTCAATTTTTGAATTAAAGGTATGTTTTTTATTAAAACTGTTTTTTCTTTCAATGGGCATAAACATGAAAATAACAGATAAGTTTGAGCGTTAATAAGTTATTCAACTTACCATTTTGTATTATTTTCTCAGCTAATTTAAAAAGTTAGCTTCACAATGTTTTCGTCCTATACAGATTGTAAACACACTTACACGAACACTAATTTTTTTTAATACAGAGATTTTATTTTACAAGTTTAACAGTAAAAAACTTAGGTTATAAATAATCTCCCCCCGTGCGCAGTCCTCGGTAACGGTAAGGGTGAGATTACATGGAGTCTGGCAGTCTGCAGACTGGCAGAATCGCGCTAAGTTTAAAATATGTTTCAATATTAATATTTAAAACCTGTTACGTAAGCAAAGAAATAATTATCGTAATACATTTGCATTTCTGTATTATTAACTAATATTTATGAAAAAAAAGGCGACGAAAAACGTTTTGTCACAGTTACATATTGTTATACATACCAGGTTACATCAGTGACCCTACTGACCGACTGTGCGATGTTAACATAAATCTATAAAAAAAGTTATAAAATAATATTTGACACGTTTTATTGTAAATGAAATTGATTGTAACTAAGCCTTTATTCTGTTATGACAATAGTTACAATTTTTTCTTCATTTTACTAAATTATTCAGAGATGTTGTAATTTAAACATAATTTAAACTTAGCGCGATTTTACAATCACTAGTGACTAGCTCATCCCCTCATTTTTACAATCAGCACCATCTAGCGAGTCTGATTATTTAGAAATAAATTCCCTAGCCTAGTAAGTTTTCCTAGTGGAATTTCTTTTAAAATAAATATGGTTCTTTTTTAGGTTTTTGTATCTGCCTCGCTAGATGGCGCTGATCGTAAATTAAAAAATAAATAATAAAAATGTATTTTTTCAACTATACAGTTGTATTTTTATATAAATAAATTAAATAATAATCATTAAAATATCATCACAAATACAATATTCTTGAGATGTTATATAATAATAAAATATACAAAAGCGAGAACCGCTGACAACTTTCGGTTGATTTCGAGGTGGTGTGCAGAGAGGGGTACGAAACTACGAACGCACGATGCGTCCATCTTCGAAGTAATAATTAAGTAAACAAAAAAAACGTGAAGGTGAAAACACTCCTTTAGTAACTTTAGTTAGCTATCCCACTTCCAAAGCTTTTAGTAATTGCTGCATACAGTGATTTATACGGGTTTTTGGCGCTGTCGTAGAGGCCAAGTTGTATACGTATATGTATAAAAATGAAACCCTCATGCACTCTTGATGCATTTTATCAAAAGGACATTATGCAGAAGCGAAAAAACTAACAGCCGAATACTTAAAAGAGTAAAAGAGACGACAAGAATAAACATATTAACAAGTTAAGGAATTAAAAAGGGAGAGAAAGAGAGATTAATCGAGTGAGTCGAAATGGAAGATGGAAGTGCATAAATATAGTGCATAGAGCATACACATACGTGCAAACTGCAGAGGTATGAGTATATCACATTATTACTATTATTAGTACAGTGCGTGGAGGAGAGGGCGAGGGACGTACCGTACTTCCGTACGTACCCCTAGCTGTAGTGTAGCTCATACATTACCTTATACACAATGCAGTATTTGATTTGCACTTTTCCATATACCGATATACCTAATGTACACGTACGTATATACTTATGTAGTGTACATGCATAGTTATGTACAAAGTCTATAAAGTACTGAAAGTACAAACAAAAGTGTGTGTTTATTAAGTACCTACTAATTAAGCCTACTAGCTAGGTCTAGGTAGTCCAAGTACACATCCCGTTGGTATTACATGTATAAACCCAAGTCGTAGCAACGTAGCATATCTGTACAGTATGTAGGTACATGGAACATCGTCTTCTAGGTACGACGAAGTAAAATAGTGTGATCTGATGTGGTGTGCATAACGGGAAGCTGGATCTACTTAGATCTTTTGCCTCGCAGCCAAGGAAGTTGTTTAACTCTCTCTGACCGGTGTCTTATTTTCCTTCTCTTACGTCGTTACGGACACATAATAAAATACCCATTCCTCGCACCGATTGTTTAGTGCATGCGAACTGACAGGTGTTGTGACAACGGCCTTTGTCGTCATCGTCGAATATTTTAACACAAACAACCTAAGTTAATAACTATACAATAGTGTGAAATCTATAATAGATAAGCAGTATTTGTGTAGAGAGAGGACAAGACCCGACCCATCATCAATAACGTCGACGACGGCAACATAAACTCGTCGCTGCCGCCGGATGTGGTATAGCAGAATAATAGCAGAAGTGAAGTAACACTGAAGAGGAGGAGGAGGAGGAGGAGAGTAATTAAATAAAGAGCAGCAAACGAGCGAAAAAGAGCATTAATGTTAGACATCTCGACAGATCCCGAGGAAATAAGTTACGGAGCATCACCGGCACGTCGCGATTCGGGTGTGCTATCCTTTTCGGAGCAGGTCTCCAAAGGGATCGTTTCTCTGTCGCCCCACGCTTCACAGGGTTAGGTGTGCTATTAAATTTTCTCTCACTATCTCTCCTCATTTATTTTATTCTATTTTTATTTACTTTTTTTTTTAACAATATGAACAAATTATCAAATGACGAGTGTATAAAATAGGGTATGTGCTTTTAGTTGAGTGATGTGGTGTGGCACGACTTGACAATCATAATATATAGTTACCAATCTCGAGGTGGTTTCTGTTTGTTTATTTTTGTGAAATTCGGTTAATAATTTGCATAAGTAGATTGCTTTGCGTGATCGTAAACTAGTAACTGCGTAAGTAATATATGTTATAGAGAGAACGAAATGCGTGCAAGCATTATCAGCAATAGAGATGATTAGAGGCGTGTTTTTTTTTTCTTGTGTTACTGTTGTCATCGGTGCTATTCGACCTTCTGCTTTTTCATGGTTGTTGCATGCGTGTCGATGGCAATCTTTTTCTATCTCACACTCCGTTTCGATGTTAGCGCGCGACATCGCATATTATCTCGCACACATGATACTTACAATTATACGATTACACGTATAAAGTATACACACGGTATGGCAGCGCTTGGATAGTAGCAAATAAAATTTCCGATAACTCTTTTTATCCTAATACGTGTTGGGCCTGTGACTATGACGCTACCTTCTCTCTCTGTCACTCTATCTCTCGTCAGTCTTTAAGTATATATATATTTGCTTCAAAGCTTATTTTTTAACGCAAGTGTAGATTTTTTTTTTTTTTTTTTTTTTTCTTCGTTAGAACTACGTCAGCTGACACTTGTAAAAGCTTCACTAATATATTATCTTCTTCAATTAATCAGTACTGGAATCGCTTGCGTCTCTTTCTCTCTTTACTTTTCTGTATATCTGGTGTGCAATAGAGCTTTTTTTAAAGCTATTGTGCTTATAAGTAAGGTTAGATACTAATAAGTAATCTGTTTTTTTTTATTTCTTTTTTAAGTATGACTCTGTAGTTTGTGAACATAATGTGTTTTATAAGTCCATCAGCTTTTGGCACGTCGTTATTTTATGATGGCCAATCGTTTTTAGTTTGCATGTTTTGATGAATGCTTTGGGCAGTGTAGATGCAGCATATAGTTTAAAAACACGCATGGCTTATCGGTAATGAAATAAATGGAAATTCATTTAGTTTTCATTATTACGCAAGTACTGGAGTAAAAAACTATTGCATTGCAAAATTTTTTCTAGCGTATGCCATTAAAATGAGTAGGAAAAATGATTCATACATTTTTCTTTCTAAAATGTAGTAACCAGAAAATATATTAATTACACATTAACTGCATTTATTAAATTTTTGTTACAATTGATGTAAGTTTTTTATCAAAATGTATGATTGTACTGAACCGATATTTTTTTACAGTATTACAGGTGATTCCCAAGAGATTGGAGTGTATCTGATGCACTCCTCAGTTACCTTACAGTGTGTAGTAAGATGGCTGTACAGGTGGATGGTGGAGGGAAGGATGATTTGAAAACACAGTTTATCACAAGGGAGGGCACTTACAAGCTCATGACCCTGTCGGAGTACTCAAGGCCAAATAGGGTAGGATATACCAACAGCCAGGGAAGCGCCTCCGTCAGGGTTTCTTTCGTCACGCTTCCCGATTCTGCTGATCCCACTGGTACCCAGGGATTTGGCGACCGAATGTGTTTCAATTTTGGCAAAGAACTTTATGTTTACGTCTATAGGGGAGTTAAAAAGGTATTATTAATTATTTTTTTCTCTAGGATAGATCCTTAAAAACTCATCAATTAAAACTAAATTATCCGTTTTAGGCTGTGGATTTAAACAAACCAGTGGATAAAAAATTATACAAGGGATGTAATCCTACATGTCATAATTTTAATCAAACCACAGCAACTGCCGAAAGTGTACAATTATTAGTTGGATTTTCAACTGGACTAATACAGTTGATAGATCCCATTAAAAAAGAATGCGGTAAATTGTATAATGAAGAGGTAAGGCATGCATAACGAATGATTTTAATTTGTCTACTGCATATATAGGAATCGATGATAGTTTATTTGAGTTGATCATTAAAAATACTTTTTTAATGTACGAATGTAATTGATTTTAAACAAAAAACGTAAATTCATGCGAACATAAGTATTTGAAAGCCAACAGAATTAAGACTGCTCAAACTTTATAGATCTGAATTGAATGCAATTATAACTCAATTAAGCTTATTCAACAAGGTTACATAACAGACTAAATGGTCTGTCTGCACTAAGTGCTTGATTAATAAAATTCTTAGAACAGCAATGTCACTCTATTTTTAAAACGGTCATGTAGTTAAGAATTAAAATTTAATGAGCATCTCGAATTCGTATATGTATATTATCACAGTTGTTGAAAATTACATTTTTCCGTGTGTTTCAGAGGCTAATCGACAAAACGAAAGTAACTTGTATAAAGTGGGTCCCAGGCTCGAGCAATTTGTTTTTAGTATCTCACAGCTCGGGACAGTTGTATCTTTATAATGAAGAGCTCATGTGTGGCACAACGCCGCCGCACTATCAGCCGTTCAAGTCCGGGGATAGTTACGCAATACACACCTGCAAAACCAAATCCACGAGGAATCCGCTGTACCGGTGGGTGATAGGAGCAGAAGGCTGCTGTATAAATGAATTCGCTTTTAGTCCGGATGGCTCGAACCTGGCGGTCGTCTCGCAAGACGGATTCCTACGAGTATTTCATTACGACACAATGGAACTGGCGGGTTTAGCGCGTAGCTACTTTGGTGGTTTCCTGTGCGTTTGCTGGTCACCCGACGGCAGGTACGTTGTCGTGGGCGGTGAGGATGATCTCGTGACAATCTGGAGCTATCACGAAAAACGAGTGGTTGCCCGAGGCCAAGGCCATCACAGCTGGGTGAGCGTCGTCGCCTTCGATCCATACACCACATCCTATAGCGAGCACGATCCCGACTTCAGCGGCTCCGACGACGAAATGTCCTTGCCGCACAACCACAATCACATACACGAGAGGCCCAAGAGGTTGTCGATGACCTCGCACTCGAATCGCAATTCCTGCAGCTCGGAGTTAAGGGTGTCCGGCGGCACGTGCTACAGGCTAGGCAGCGTCTCGCAGGACACCCAACTTTGTCTGTGGGACATTACGGAAGATGTGCTGCGGCAACCCGTGTGCCCAAAGAGCCGAGCTTCGGTGTCGGCGGCTGGTTCGGGCGTGTTTAGTTCGTCGGGGACGTTTAGTAGCGGTAACGGTGCCATGTCCAATCACCACATTGGCAACAGCAAGCATGCCAATTCGAACAACATCGGTTTAAAGGAAAACTCGAACAGCGGCAACGGTGGAGGTAATAACGAAAGTGGTGCCGGCAGCAATAGTTCGAGCGCTACTGTTTCGACGGTAAATTCGCTGACCCAGAGGCTAGCTGGCGGTCTTGGTTTTGGCGAGCGCAAGGGCGAAAACCACAAGAGGAACTTCAGCCTGACGATACGAAGCAGTGGAACGGTGGGTGGTGGTGGTGGTGGTAATAGCGGTAACGGTGGTAACAACAACACGAGTAACGCCGTACAAAACAGTGTTATGGACAAAAGTAACATGGGAAGTAGTAGTACGAACGGGAGTAACTTGAACAGTGTCGGTGGTAGTTTAAGCTCAAGTAAAAAAGTTGGTTCTGTATTGGACGATCCGATGAAGCTGATAGGGACGGCCTGGTGTCCTAGGTTCGACGAGTGTCCGGTGTTGGAACCACTAGTGTGCAAAAAGCTTGCCCACGAAAGACTGACTGAATTAGTGTTTAGGGAAGATTGCTTTGTTACAGCGTGTCAGGATGGATACGTGTATACTTGGGCGCGACCCGGACACATGGTAGGTCACCTTACCATAAGCAATACCTTGCACAGACCACACAACCACAGTCACTCATCCTATCCCACTAGTTCGGTTAGGCTCAACGAACTCTGATGCATCGTCATAATCCTTCATGTTACCAGTTTATCATCACGTAGAATTTTTTTGTTTTTCTTGTCTTTTGTATCTTCACGAGATTCCGAACTTTTGATACTTTGAAATAGATATTTTACGTTTAATTATGCTTCATTATCTTTGTTATTGTGTTTGAATAATTTTTTTTTTTAGATGTGCCTTGCTTCAAAAGATATTTTACTGTAAGATTTATATGATACTCGGTTTTTCAACTGTCCACTGATAAAAAGTAATGTTTTCGAAAATTCTAGTTATTAATAATTAAAATGCATGTTAAGCTTCTGTTAGTACAAATCATTTTTTTTTTTTTTTGTTATGATATGGATATATTTTAATAAATTAAATTATTAAAATTGTGTGCAATATGTATATTCATACTCTGACTATTATTATTTTTATTATTTTCATCAAAAGCATGACGAGTTTTGAATTTCTAAATTTTCTAAAATAAGTCACGAAAACTTTAAATAACTTCAAAAATCACGTTGTGATATCTTTGACGCTGATGACAATCCATCGGTATTATTTGATTTAATCGTAAGGTATTTAAATTCTTATGCAGTTATTGAATACAACTTTGTGATCTTTTTTAATTTTTATTAAAAAATACTTAAAACAATAAAAAATACACAATGAAAAAACAATTCATATGTCACACATGCAAAAAATTCATTTTTTTTACATATTTATATTTATGCACTCCTTAATTGTATTTAATATTACATTTTCCTTTAAAATTAAAAAAATAAAAATTCATAATTAGCTTGTTATTGTTTGCATTATTATTTTAAAGAACTTTTATTAACTGACGTAAGGCAAAAAAATTTATTTCAAAGTAGTAAAAGTAAATAATTTTATACACAAACTATAAAAAATTGTAAATATTTAACTATGTAGGAATTGCGTTAGAGCGCTTGTATTCCTTATTAAAATATTGTAGAAATGATTGTATCAATTTAGCGATCTCTTTGTTATTGTTAGCACCAAAACTCTTGACGAGTTAATAAACTATTGCAAAATAAGAAAAAGAAATCCAGAAATTAATTAAGTTAAGTGAAAGAGAGTATTAATTTTATTATTTAAACAAAAACGTGTTTATAATGCTTTCATCAAATTATTATAGTTTGTTTTAGTAATGCTTCAGAAAGTTTATTTGCAATAAAACTTATTTTTATCGTAAATCAAATTTTGAGGTATCGTTTTTGTGCCATTTAACTATGAATCAAATATTAATTAAGAGCGGACTTACTCTTTACAATATATTTTGACACTCAAACTGTTTTTGTATTGTATCTGCAAAGTCCTGTAACTGAAAAAGAATTACATACCAAATTAATTATATATAGATAAGATTTTATCGTAAATTAAAAAATAAATAATAAAAATGTATTTTTTCAACTATACAGTTGTATTTTTATA